ATAACAACAAATAATTGACACACACACACAAACAATAGTAACTGACACACAATAATAACAACAATAGTACTGACACACACAACAATAGTACTGACACACACAAACAATAGTACTGACACACACAATAACAACAATAGTACTGACACACAACAAATAGTACTGACACACACAACAAACAATAGTACTGACACAACAACAAATAGTACTGAACAAAACACCAAACAATAGTACTGACACACACAAAATAACAGTAATGACACCAAACAACAGTAATTACATAACACACAAACAATAGTACTGACAAAACACAACAATAGTACTGACAACAAAACAAAAAATAGCAATTGACACACACAACAATAGAACTGACAAAACACAACAATAGTACTGACACACACACACAACAATAGTACTGACACACACACACAACAATAGTACTGACACACACAAACAATAGTACTGACACACACAACAATAGCACTGACACACACAACAATAGTAACTGACACACACACAATAACAAATAGTACTGACAACACACACACAACAAATAGTACTGACACACACAAACAACAGTACTGACACACATCAATAGTACTGACACAACACAACAATAGTACTGACACACACAACAATAGTACTGACACACACCAATGGACACACACACACAAACAATAGTACTGACACACAACAATAGTACTGACACACACAAACAATAGTACTGACAAAACACACACAATAGTACTGACACACACACACAACAATAGTACTGACACACACACACAACAATAGTACTGACACACACACACAACAATAGTACTGACAAAAAATAAACAATAGTACTGACACAAAAACAAGTACTGACAAACACAACAATAGTACTGACACACACAACAATAGTACGACAAACACACAATAGTACTGACACACACAACAATAGTATGACTGACACACACACAACAATAGTACTACACAACAATAGCAATGACACACACAAATAGTGACTGACACACACAAACACAGCAATTGACACACAACAATAGAACTGACACACACACAACAATAGTACTGACAACAAAACAACAATAGTACTGACACACACAACAATAGTACTGACACAACACAAAACAATAGTACTGACACACACAACAATAGTACTGACACAACAATAGTACTGACAAACACAACAATAGTACTGACACACAAACAATAGTACTGACACACACACACAACAATAGTACTGACACACACAACAATAGTACTGACACACACACAACAATAGTACTGGAAACACACAACAATAGTAATTGACACACACAACAATAGTACTGACAAACACAACAATAGTACTGACAAACACAAACAATAGTAACTGACACAACAATAGACTGACAAAACACGACAATAGTACTGACAACACAACAATAGTACTGACACACACATACAACAATAGTACTGACACACAACAACAATACTGACACACACACAACAATAGTACTGACACACACACAAACAATAGTACCGGACACAACATAGTACTGACACACACAATAACATGTACTGACACACAACAATAGTACTGACAAACACAACACTGACACAAACAATAGTACTGACAAACACGACAATAGTACTGACAAACACAACAATAGTACTGACACACACATACAACAATAGTACTGACAACACAACAATAATACTGACACACACAACAATAGTATTGACACACAACAATAGTATCAAATAGACTGACACACACAACAATAGTACTGACACACGCAACAATAGTACTGACACACAACAATAGTACTGACACACACAACAATAGTGCTGACACACACAAATAGTACTGACACACACAACAATAGTACTGACACACACACACAAAAAATAGTGCTGACACACACACACAACAATAGTACTGACACACACACACAACAATAGTACTGACACACAAGAATAGTATTGACACAAACAATAGTACTGACACACAACAATACTGACAAACAACAATATTATGACACACACACACAACAATACTGATAAAACACAAACAATAGTACTGACAAACAACAATAAGTACTCGACACACAATAGTGCTGACACACAACAATAGTGCTGACACACAACAATAGTACTGACACACAACACACAAGGACACACACACACAAATACAGCTGACACACACAACAATAGTACTGACACACAAACAATAGTACTGACACACAAACAATAAAGTAATTGACACACACAACAATAGTGCTGACACACACAACAGTGCTGACACACAACAATAGTAATTGACACACACAACAATAGTACTGACACACAAACAATAGTAACGACAACAGTACACAACAACAGTAATGACAACACAATCAACAGTGCTGACACACAACAACAATAGTGCTGACATACACAACAATAGCACCGACACAACAATAGTATTGACACACACAAACAGTACTGACACAACAACAATAGTACTGGACACACACACAACAATTGGCTGACACACAATAGCACTGACACACACAGTACTGACACAAACAATAGTACTGACACACAAACAATAGCATTGACAAACAATAGTACTGACACACACAAACAATAGTACTGACACACACAACAGTACTGACACACAAACAATAGCACTAATTGACACACAACAACAGTACTGACACACACAACAATAGTACTGACAACAAACAATAAAGTACTGACAAAACAACAATAGTACTGACAACAACAACAACAATAGAATTGACAAAACAACAATAGTACTGACAACAACAACAATAGTACTGACACACACACAACAATAGTAATTGACAACAACAAACAATAGTACTGACACACAACAATAGTACTGACACACACACAACAATAGTACTGACACAACAATAGTACTGACACACACAACAATGTACTGACACACACACTGACACACAACAATAGTACTGACACACACAACAATAGCAATTGACACACAACAAAGTACTGACACACAACAATAAAGTACTGACACACAACAATAGTTACTGAACACACACAACAATAGTACTGACACACACAACAATAGTACTGACACACAACAATAGTTCTGACACACAACAATAGTACTGACACACACAACAATAGTTACTGACACACACAACAATAGTGCTGACACACACAACAATAGTACTGACACACACAACAATAGTACTGACACACACAACAATAGTACTGACACACAACAATAGTACTGACACACAACAATAGTACTGACACACACAACAATAGTACTGACACACAACAATAGTACTGACACACAACAATAGTACTGACACACACAACAATAGTACTGACACACAACAACAATAGTACTGACACACAACAATAGTACTTAATAACACACAACAATAGTTACTGACACACACAACAATAGTACTGACACACACAATAGTACTGACACACACAAATACAGTACTGACACACACAACAATAGTACTGACACACACAACAATAGTACTGACACACAATAGTAGTACTGACACACACAACAATAGTACTGACACACAACAATAGTACTGACACACACAACAATAGTTACTGACACACACAACAATAGTGCTGACACACACAACAATAGTACTGACACACACACAACAATAGTACTGACACACACAACAATAGTACTGACACACACAACAATAGTACTGACACGCAACAATAGTACTGACACACACAACAATAGTACTGACACACAACATTAGTACTGACATACAATAGTAAGCATGTGTAGTCAACATCAGGTCATTTTTCACACAGTAGTTACCATGATAATCGTCTTTGTTTACTTTCACTCAATATTGGTACAGACAGGGATGAGATAAAGGTAGGTTCCTGATATTCTGTCTTGAAGGTGATCTCTCATCGTTCTTCTGTGGTTTTTACTCTAATGCTTTTCCTTTCATGTTTTGTCTTCACTATATCCTATTCCATTTTCTTATTCCGTATTGGGAGTCTTAAGTCTTAATAATGTACGTACAAGTCAAAAATTTAATTTTCTTGTCTAGCTGTCTGTCATATGGCACTTTCTTCAGGATGAGCATCGATTACAAAGAACTCCTCGAGGTGTACAGTCGATGTTTGACTTTTTTTTTACGGGGATTAGCCCACCCTGACACAGGTCACTGACCCACATCAGGGCCCGGGGGGGGGGCGAAAATATTATAATGATAATAATAATAATAATAACTATTATTATTATTATTATTATTATTATTATTATTATTATTATTTTTATTATTATTATTATTATTATTATTATTATTATTATTATTATTATTATTATTATTATTATTATTATAATAATTAAAAAAATAATACCAAAATACCTGTACTAAAAATAAAAATAATAACCATAAATAAATACAAAAACGAGAAATATAAATTAAGAATGAGAAACGATATACATTATGTATGTTGTGTTGTCAAAGTAAGAGAAACAATTGAGACCCAGCAATTGTGTGTAAATGAGGCAGAAAGTCAGATCAACAACCTGGGACTTGGTCACAATTTTCGTGATGCCATATGGCAGCAGGGGCTACCATTAGACAACACATTATGCTTCCAATGTCTTCCCAGGCGGTAGTACCTCCCTATTTGATAGCTGCCTGCTACCTACCCTAATAGCATGTCTAAATGTATAATGAATTTCCGTCTTGTGTAGCCTCATCAGGTCAACTCTGGTTTAATGTTAAAAAAAGAATGAGCGATGCCATTTACCTTAATCTAATAGTACATCTCATGATACAATGAAAGCTTCTTTTAACACCACGTTTCCCCAGCTGGTTTATTAGTGAGTCTGGTGTTATTATGAAAACACTCAAGACCTGAACACCCCTTTCTTCACCTGTCTGTTATGAGGGAAGAGGATAAAGCACAGAGTATAATAAGTCTGACGATGTAGTACAACAATAAAGAATTCCACTTTACGCAACGTTTTCCCACAGCCCCCACGTAGGTCCAGTGTGTCTGCCCAGCCGCACAGACTTCACTGGTCAGCGGTGTTGGGTGACGGGTTGGGGCAAGGATAGTTTCGATGAAAGGGGCCAGTACCAGAACATCTTGAAGGTGAGTCTCTTACATGTTCTTACTGACAACATACGTGGTTTGAGGGGTTCTGAGATACAATAAGCTGGAGACTTGGTACTGTCAAAGTGCTCTGAGATAAGCTGGAGATACGGAAGACTCTCAGGAAGTTATAATGTCAGGTGGGAGTCTTAAAGGAAGAAGGTTGTTGGTTTATTTTGCAGTTCCTGACAACGACTCACTCACACCTTCAAGATTGTAAAGGTTGACAGAGAAGGATGAAGAGTACGAGACAGTAGACACATAATTATAGAATCCTGTAGTTTATCGAATGTTTGTTGATTGGGGATAAGTGTTCTGAGGGTGAATTCATTTTAAGGTCTGTTAACGAAGGAAAGAGGTAGTTAAAAGAGTTGAAGAATTTCTGTTTATTTCTTTTGCATTTTCGAGCAAAACTGAGTCAGGGTGAAAATCTGATCTGGTGGCTGAGATGATAGTTCTCAGGAATATTGGCCTGAGTTATACAAGGTGGTGGTTCTAAGCAATATTAGCCCGAGTTATACAAGGTGATGGTTCTAGGGAATATTAGCCCGAGTTATACAAGGTGATGGTTCTAAGCAATATTAGCCCGAATTATACAAGGTGATGGTTCTAAGCAATATTAGCCCGAGTTATACAAGGTGATGGTTCTAGGGAATATTGGCCAGAGTTATACAAGGTGATGGTTCTAAGGAATATTGGGCAGAGTTATACAAGGTGGTGGTTCTAAGCAATATTAGCCCGAGTTATACAAGGTGATGGTTCTAGGGAATATTAGCCCGAGTTATACAAGGTGATGGTTCTAGGGAATATTGGCCAGAGTTATACAAGGTGATGGTTCTAAGGAATATTGGGCAGAGTTATACAAGGTGAAGGTTCTAAGGAATATTGGGCAGAGTTATACAAGGTGAAGGTTCTAAGGAATATTGACCAGAGTTATACAAGATGGTGGTTCTAAGGAATATTGGGCAGGGTTCTACAAGGTGATGGTTCTAAGGAATATTGGCCTGAGTTATACAAGGTGATGGTTCTAAGGAATATTGGGCAGAGTTATACAAGGTGATGGTTCTAAGGAATATTGGCCTGAGTTATACAAGGTGATGGTTCTACGGAATATTGGCCAGAGTTATACAAGGTTCTAAGGAATATTGGCCATAGTTATACAAGGTGATAGTTCTAAGGAATATTGGCCAGATTTATGCAAGTTGATGGTTCTAATGAATATTGACCAAAGTTATACAAGGTTCTAGTTCTAAGGAATATTGGCCAGTATTAACAGCAGAATAAACGGAGAACTGCAACATAACACTGTAGAGAAAAAAAAAGAGGCAGCTCATAGGTTGTTATTGAACGAGTTATGAGAAAATTAGCTTTAAATTGGAATTTTTTTATTTTGGAAACCTAATGGGATTTTTTCCATATATGACTACAGTGTCTCTTACAGTATGTGGCTAGGTTAGGTTAGGAGAACAAGTTGATATAACGTTGGTGGTTGTTATAAGTTAGGTGTGATAGTTCATGTGAACCCTAGTACACCGAGTTCATGGCTAACATATCAGTGTTGTTATTTTATACAGAAGGATATAAATAGCTTCTAGTATTATTAACATGAATAAGTACAATATATTGCTATAGAAAAGCTGAGTTTTGACTTCCATTGTTTTCATTTGCATTAAGAAAGGTTTTAATGGGAAGTATCTTGTGTGTGTGTGTGTGTGTAATAACAATAATAATAATTAACGGTTTATTGAAAAAGTTCTGCAGCCCGAAGGCTGAAAATAAACATAAATGACTTATTACATACATTGACATGGGGGGGTTAACAAAAGCCTTCGTTAGAAAAAGAAAAAGGAACATACAGTGAACATACAAATTAATGTATACAGTGGAGGTCACGTAGACCACGTGTGCAGAGGTGTTGAACAGCAAACACGTAGTGTAGTAACTCCCTCACAGATGGTGTTAATGAGGGGCCTTACATGGTGCAGTAATTCCCTCACAGATGATGCTATGAGGTGTGCGTGTGTGTGTGTTCGTTCGTTCTTCATATGGATGTAAGCCTCAGGTGTTTAAGAGCAATAACAGAGCAAGACTGAGAGCAGTAGATATACTGTAGGTAGCTTGAGAAGATTCACCTGATTTGGAATATTGATTCGTTAAGGAATGAAGATATACAGTAATGCGCATGTATGGGGTCAAAAGTCTCTGGAGAGTTAAATGGGCGAAATGTCTCTGAGAAGGAGTATCCATAAAGAGGACATTAATTCACATCCTCCTGTTAGTGCATGATTTACATTATATATTGTTTACTCTTCAGGAGGTGGACTTGTTGGTGGTGTCCCCAGGAGCGTGTGAGGCAGCGCTGCAGCAGACGCGGCTGGGGCCCACCTACCGTCTCCACCCAGGGATGATCTGTGCCGGGGGCGAGCTGGGCAAGGACGCCTGCAAGGTGTGTCGTGTTATTGTAACTCTTCCTTTAGCACTGCACAAATTCCAACTGTACTGTCTTCCTGTCATGAACGCTACTGTTAAGTCAATCAGCCCAGCTTTACAACCACCTTCACTTTGTGTTTAACTTTTTGCAAAGGAAAATTTGATAATACATCGGCTACAACTACAATGCTTCAGCATTAGTTTACTATCTCTTCCACATTACTGTTACATCAACTCTTATTTGACCTTTAGTACTGCACTACATCAATTGTAACTTTGCTGTCAGGTCGTCTGTGTTATATCAACTGAACTGACTACTGTGCAGTTTATTGTTGCAGAAACTGTTAATTTTTTCCACATCTACTATCCACTATGCCTGGTATACGCACTACACTTGACTGAAATGTTAGGCATCCATTGCCGGATGAGTAGACTGGGAGTACCCTGGGTATAAAAAAGTTACCCTTAGGACAAAAGGCGAGGGTTGTATCCGCTCAGCCACCGCACCTCTTTCATGGTTATAATGAAGGTTAAAGTTCAGTGGCATCAACACAACTCAGCTGTGGTCATAACAGAACAGTTGCCTCTCTTATTGTTAAAGGACACGACAAGAAATAAGACTACTGTGTCACGAACACACGCTTGGTGATACAAACGTTCTTATTCTGCCTACTGTATACTGTGTCACGAACACACATTACTAATATTCATTATTAAATCAAGTGTGTATGTTGTGTTGCACAGTGATGGCTTGTATGATAAAAATACACTACCGATAATGTTATTAATGTAAATGTGTGTTGTAATGTGTTGCAGGGTGATGGCGGTGGACCCCTGACATGTGAGGGAAGTGACGGCAGATTCCAACTAGCCGGGATAGTGTCGTGGGGGATCGGCTGTGGCTCACCTGGCATCCCCGGCGTGTACGTCAATGTCGTCTACTATCTTGACTGGATCAACCAGATCATTAACTTCTGAATGTCTGGTTCTTGATCAGAAGTTCCATTTATGATCTTCTAGATTGTAGAATTCTGGTGAGTTCTTAAATCAGTGTTCGTTGTTATCAAGTTCCAAGTACCAAGTTAGGTTCTTAGTTCCTGCCTCTATCTTTGAAGTTATTTAATTGTTTGGATATGGATGCTTGATTTAGAACTCTTGGATCAATATATCTGGTCCCCGTGTTGGACGTCCCAGGTGCTAGACTACAGGAGTAGATGTCTAGGATGTTGTCTGAAGGTTCCTCACTCAAAAGGTAGACTCTAGATCACAGGTTGTTGTTTCCCTTACACGTGTGGAACCGCTACCCAGTCCTCCCCTCACACCAGGAAGACTTCCAGTTTTGCTAGTTGTTAAATGATCTCAGAAACAAAAATCACTAAAATAAAGTCCACATTTATGTGTGTGAAGGTAGAAAAGATGGGCAGATTTATTGTGAAGATAGAAGTCTGTATCAGAAGTTGGTGAACAAGATGTAACGAGAGATTACCAGTATCTATAGTCGGCTCAAGAGGGATCACAATCCCTTCTTATCGTAGAGGAACATGAAAATATTTACTTATCTTTTATTACTTAATTCTCACTTGTGAATGTTATCACAAAAGGTTAGTTGTAGTGTTACTAGAGGTAGGTGTGTTACCTCTGGGGAGGTCTCGCTGCAGGTCAGCTGGTCGTTGTACATAAAACTTTAATATATTGACTAATACAAATAAAATGTTAAATTTGTACACAAATATTGTCTTATTGGTGGCGATCCTCTTTAAAGTTAAGTTTACATCTGTGGTAAGATATGGACTGATAATAATAGACCATGGTCCGAGGCCAGCTATCTTGCTTAGTTTTCGAGATCCGTAGCACCCCACCTGGGAACTACCTATAAATATGCTAGTTAAGTTATAAGAACATCCCTAAACCCTAAATGACATGTTCCCAACTTTAAATCTTGCACGTTAGGTAGAAATTTGATAAATTCTAATTTACTGGTTGCTATGGAGATGTTTACCTTAGCAACAGAGTACAACATTGTTTTAAGCCAAATCTATAGGTAGCGACTAGCAATAGTTGATGGAAATAGCCTTATTGTATACCTTAAAGGTCGTTCAAAGTCGTCCAAATAAACTATGATGGAAAAGAGGCCTAGAATGTTCTCGTTGCTAAGCGTAATATTCCCTAGCAACCATAATTTATAGCCTTATATTACTTGATGTTCAGAGACATTAAAACCTTCAATAAATGCATGCAAAACAATACAAAGCAACAAGCGATATACATTTAATAACTTTTAATTGGACATCTTAAAATACATTTATATAAGTATTTTAATTCTAGATAATAGTTTTGCACATAGGCTAAAATGTAATAAAAAATATTGAAGAAATTCATTCATCATTATAAAAAATAATGGAAAAATATTACACATAAATTACTTTTGTTACTATTAATATTATTAATAATTGATAATGATTAGTATTAATTGTTATTACAAATTTTTAATAATTGCAAGAAAGGAGATTTATCATCTAATCAAGCCGTAATTACTACATAAAAGGGCGACTTTAAAGGAGCTGGTTATTGGTGGAAACAAACATTCAGTTTTTCAACACAAATTGCCAGGTCCTTTAATGTGGTGCTACCTTGCCATAATTTTTAAAATTAAGAGACTAACACTGTTACACATGTCTCTGTTATTAATATAATGCGTCCTTGAAAGAGAGATCAACTGTACAGAATTTAGTATGATTGATTTAGGATCTGAAAATAGTCCTCCAGTGGTCAATAAACTATATTTTTCAGTTATTAAAGTTCATCATCTGAACCTTCCGAGTCTATATCTTGTTCAGCAACTACTGTTTCTGGGGTAGTGGTTGAATTCTGACATTCTGAGCATGAACACAAGTCAGTGCAAGGAAGCTTGTTATGGAGACATGTGCATCTTCCTTGTGCACATTTTGTTTTCTTACATAAACAATGCACAAGTTCCATGACACTAAATGGTGCTGGGGGAAGAGTCATCCAATCGACTACCAATTTTTTGTCTTCAATTTTCCAACCATTACTTTCAGGTGGCGGTATTTCAGGATTTTGAATAGACATCGCTTATATATTGTTGCCTGATAATTGGCCCGCTGTATGTGCTTCAGAAGGGAAACCTTATTCGGGGGTAACCTACATTCTCCATATCTGCCAGACTTAAACATTTTCACCCGTGATTCATTTACATCACAGCAATCCTTTTGTCCATATAGCTCGCATATATATGCCTCCAGCTCATCAGATAGAGTCTGAGAAACCTCAAATACATTTCCAAGTTATGCTAATGCTACACAGTGAGCAGGATTTGATATCATGATTTTGGCAGAGTTCAATTTTCCTATTTCATGCAGTGCGCTAACAGAGTCACTTTAATGGATACTCTCGCCTACAAACTGACAAGCTTAGCCGCATACCAAAGAGGCGGGATTCAGCCAACCAGTAAGTTCTCACGGGGGGGGGGGGTCGCCACCTGCGACGCTTACATCCGGTCTTACTTCCGGTGGCCGAGTATATAAGCTCTCAGTCTCGCCATTGAAGTCCATTCTAGCTACAACACGCAACACCTCCTCTGAGCAAGCTCCTCGCTGACCAGCTCTCTCTCTCTTCCACGCTCCCGCACCAACAAGACCTCTCAACGAGCTCCTCATCCAACAACCTCCTCTCAGCGAGCTCCTCATCCAACACCTCCTCTCAGCAAGCTCCTAACCACGCAGCAACTTCCCAGCACCAAATTGCACCGTACATTCAATATATTTATATACAGAAAACGCATTGTGAATTTCCTTTCTCCAACCCATCCTGAGTGTGAGACCACATCACAAAATCCCACAAATGGTGACCCCCGGAAAAACGCACTCACAGTCTTCAATCACAACATTGAAGACTGGCTTATCCACATGGAGGCCGCTCTCATTGGCTCTACAGCTACAGACAAACAAAAGTACGTCGCCCTGGTCCATTCCCTGCCCACAGAAGTCACCATGCAAGTATCAGAGACCATCACCAACCCTTCAGCTGACAAAATATTCGCTGCCCTACGGGATGCTCTAAAGATGCAATACCAGCGGCCCCACACCACTCTCCTACAAGACTTATCCTGTCTCTCTCTCGGCAACTCCACGCCTGCACGTCTCTGGGACGAGATGCGTAGACGAAACTCCCGCCGCACAGACAGGCTTCCTGACACTATCCTGCGCCAGCTTCACACTCAGAAGCTCCCTGCAGAAGTTCGTCTTGTCCTCTCAGTATTGGACTATTCCACTACCTCAGCCACCTACGCAGCCACGGTAGACAGGGTATTCCACGAATACACTGCTGTGCGCCATGCGTCCGCGCACAACTCCGCAACTACACTTTCACTTTCCTCCGGTCTCGTCAACCTGATCAGTGCTCCCCAGATGACCAACACCTCACAAGACGTGCGGGACCTGCTACAGTCCCTACACCGCAGGTTAGACACCCTAGAGCAGCTCTGCTTCTCCAAGCATGCAGCTGCTCCTCTTCCTGCCCCAAGCACCACGTCCTACCAACCCCAACACACCCGTCCTGCCTCAGACGCCGCCCCCAGCCCCCAGCACAGAGTATCTACCCCCTGTTGGTACCATCAACGTTTTGGTGTTAACGCTAGACGCTGTGAGGCGCCCTGCAACCACACGGCGAAGCGACATCGACGGAGACGGGTAGGCGCCATAACCTCCGCCACTATCAAGCAGCACATCACACGCCTTACTTCTGACCTTGACCACTTCACTCCTGCTGCCTGTCACGACCTACTGCAAAAACTACAACAAGCAGTTTCTGCATTCAACGCTACTGCCCCACGCCAGCCTTCCCACCGACCTGAACACATTAATCCCGCACCTCCTCCGCCAGTCTGCCTACCATTGCCCCTTGCAGCACCACCTCGCCCACAACATTTCTGGGTACCCTCTTTTCATCCTCAGGTACCGACTGCCCCTGACGTGGCCCCTGCTCCTGACGCGGACCCAGACACCCCACCAGACGCGACTGAGGACTGTGTACCTGCCGCGAGAGAAGCACCACATTCCTCGCCTGTACCTTCTCTTATCCACAACCCTCCTCCTACCTCTGCTTCTCCCACAGCTCTCAGTCTCGTCATTGAAGTCCATTCTAGCTACAGCCCTGCAACACGCAACACCTCCTCTGAGCAAGCTCCTCTTTCTCTTCCACGCTCCCGCACCAACAAGACCTCTCAACGAGCTCCTCATCCAACACCTCCTCTCAGCAAGCTCCTAACCAAGCAGCAACTTCCCAGCACCAAACTGCACCGTGCATTCAATATATTTATATACAGAAACCGCATTGTGAGTTTCCTTTCTCCAACCCATCCTGAGTGTGAGACCACATCACGAAACCCCACATCACAACCGTTCATACAATGAAAGCCAATTAAGGCTTCACACACTTCTCGACCAAAATGGCAAAATATTTGGCATAGAGCAATTGTGCTCATATTATCTCCTTTACCAGTATGGAAGTACAACTCCGCATCAATGTCCCTCCAGAATGCTACAGCGACCACAAGTACATCAGTATCTGGGCTGTTTATACCAGTCAAGTTACTCAACATATACAATCCAAGATCTGTATCAATATAGCCTGCTCTATGTACCTACCTAATTCAGAGATATGAGCTGGTCTTTCATCATGTTTCTTTCGCGCTCTGTCTATCTTCATTTTATCTGTAAACCGCATGTAGCACTTGCGGTGATATCCGGCGATTTCTACCTCGGGGATTTTAGTTTGCAACGCTCCAAAGCTCTGTACAAGCTCTAGTCCATAGCGATTTATGGAATCCTTGGCAACTTCGGATTCCCTGGTGTCTTGGTATTTCCATAAATGCGCACTTGAGACAAATTTTCGCCAACTAGCCTCAGAAAACCTAAAAATATTGTCCCGTCTTGTAGAATCAACAACGTGCATGGAGCACGCCATGTTTATCAATATTGGTGAGAGACTGCGATCATGATTGGCCGTGAACCAGCCCTTATGAGACACGCTGTTTCATTGGTGGCCAGTGCTCTACCGTGACGTCACTATGTACTGCTTTCTATCCACATTTTCTGAGAATTTTCAAACAAAATTATAAATTAATGTGCAACTTTTGAGACTGGGAACATTCATATTCGTGATTAGCAGCATCTAATTTACAAGAAAAAATTCATTTGAAGTAGTTCCTTGACGAGTACTATGGAATTGAATGATATCGAGCCTCGGCCCGCGGTCTATAATTCAGAATTATTCCAAATCATAAAACTCAAAGAATCACCAATATGTTTACCCCTTATGTACGTGTGTTCTGTAGAGGCCCCAAATGCACCATCTCTTCCTTCGTCTTTATGTAAACAAATTACAGGTATAACAAGAGAAACTACAAATGACAACGATTACCAAACTAACAAGAGATATGCAGTATTATGTGTCATGTTATCATAATAATAATAATAATAATAATAATAATAATAATAATAATAATAATAATAATAATAATAATAATAATAATAATAATAATAATAACAATAATAATAATAATATTAATAATAATAATAATAATAATAATAATAATAATAATAATAATAATAATAATAATAATAAACGGTTTATTGATAGAGTTGCAGCCGGTGGCTGAAAATATACAGACTTACATTTGATTTAGACATAATGATATAATATGCATTGA